GATTATACAACCACATTACTTAAATATGATTATTAAGTTCAACTAATTCATATTATTAAAACATCTAAAATACAAATATGTATTTTTAAAATTAATTGTAAGTTCATCTCATCTCTCTTAAAAATTTGCTACTTCTCAAAATTTCCCATTAAAAAATAGATCATATACCATATAAAATTAAATAATTGAAAGATCGGACTACGGAAAACCACACAAATTTTCGGAAAAATTTTGACCACCTGCACATGCACACAATCGTCAATAAATAAAATTAAAAAATAACTACTATTTTAGTATTTTAACTATTTTAATAAACGCAAAAATAGCACAGTATTTATACGGCGAAGTTATAAAAATTTGGAAGAACTAATAATGCACCGACGCATTTTTATAAAATCAAACGAATACTAAATTTCATTTATCAAAAGCATTCGATAGTCGTGGCTCAACGATAACCATTTAGTCGCACGGCGAGGTTGTCACATATGCTTTAGTATACAAATGAATGAATGATTTTATTCGAATAAAACCATTCGATAGTTGAAATCATTCATTCATTAACCATTCGATAGTCTAATTCATTCGATAGTTCCCATCGCTAACGGTAACACTAAAGGATCGAACCCCCAACTGTAATATTCGTTAAGTCGTTTAAAAGGATGCTTTTAGTTTGAAATGTATATAACATTTTAATTGAAAATATCAAATTAGAGTTATTTCAAATTTTACTGACTAATAATAAAAATATATCCACACTAAAATTTCACTTTTCGCCTTCTCTATCTGTGTCTCCGTCTCTTTCTACTCCCGGCCTAATTCCATTTCGGTATAAGCGTGGCCGATAAATCACGATGCAACTGAGCGTGAAGTAACAATTATAGCGGGTTTAGATTTATTAGTAATAACTTGTGAGCGTTACGGCGGCGGACGTAATTAAAATAAAGCCGAACCTGGGGTGAGATGATCAGTTATTTTCCCCGATAGTTTTAAATGAGATATTTTTTCTCATAGAGGGAGATGCCAAATTAAAATACGAATGAAGATGAAAATTGGCACGATTGCTGGTGTAACTTCTCTACGTTTTATTAAAATACACTGGACAACAAATTTTAGTTTATTGGGGCTGAATACGAAAATGTCAATGAAGTTGAAAACTTAATTGAATTGGAGTTTTGAAGAACAATTTTTTTTTAATTTTATTTTCGATAAAATAAGAAAAAAATAGATACCTTTATATTTTTGAGTCACTAAATTCGGTGTTTTCTTGTAATCTGTTTGTGAACTTTTTCTGGAGCATCACAAACAATAGTCCAACATTAGTCTGCAATCATGGAAGGATTCCAATTTCGCTGGTACGTTTTCTCCATTGTAATATGTCTTGATATAAGCGTTCGCTGTACTCGTCACTTATACTGTTTAATTTGCGAAGTTTGAAACTTTCGTCATAATTTTCGGCGCCATATTGCTTTTCACATATTTCCTGACTATTTTAACTAACAATAACGAAATATTAAACAATAATAATAAATTAAATTATAAATAACATGCAAATAACTAAATAAACACAGAAAATCCCACAAAAATATCGAAAAGTGATAAAAATCCTCTTCGTAGTCGTTAAAATTTAACGACAACTTTGACAGTCGGCGATCCGTATTGTTCGATTTCGGCGAGTAATACAAATACGATGTTTGCCTTTTTTTATTCGTGCACATTATACAAGGAAGTACGATCCTTTATACTCAATGAGGGTGATCCGTATGTAAAAAGAAAAAAATAATCGTACGATGTAAGAAATATAATGGACTTACGTTTTTGACGCAAAATTTCCATTTCATGTGATAAACATGGATAAGAGAGAGAATGACAACCTGTGACGAAAGTTTCAAACTTTACAAATTGAACAGTAGCTTCGGATTAATCATAAGAAAAGTCCAGGTGTGAGTGTAGAAAATGAATCTTAAATATATTTTGCAATCCATTTTGCAGTACTAACAGCGATCAACTCAGTAAGCATCAATTCGAAGTTGATAAAAGAATGTCTAGATAAGCTGAACAAATTAGGCAAAGAAGTCCTCTCATTCTCCAAGGAATAGAAGATAGAAGCCAATGAAAAAGCAAACGATATAGCTAGAAACTGGATACTCGACTAACTGGACCAGAACCGTTCTGTTTTCTAAGCGGAAACCAAGATTGTTAAAGCGGAACTGAAAAACCTGGAGACTCCATCCATAACCTGGAATGGGAATCCTCCAACGGTCTAAGACACTCGAAAAAATTCGTCAGAACTTACGACCGAGAAAAATGAAAGATTTTCCTTGATTTAAGTAAAAACAATCTTCGGATTGTCACGGGGTTTCTAACAGGATACTGTCTCCTCAACGAACACCTCAGTAGGTTGGAGCTGAGAAACAACGGCGAACCCAACCCAACCATCACCTGAACACCTTATCATTGAGTACGCCGAGACGACAATAGTTCGTGATAGTGATGGGATCACACGAGTGAAAAATACCCAGTCACTCGAGCATTCAAATCCTCGGTATGTTTCGATGATTTTTGTCAATCCTCGAGGATTGACAAATGTGTGTGGAAAACCGTGAGGAGTGTTGAGAATACAAGGCTATTTGCGATTTATACTGAAATCGTTTCAAGTTAAAACAAGTAATTTTCCGAATTACTTGATTACATTAGGTCTGTACGGTTTCCAGATAAATCTCAAAATCAGAGTTAAAGAAACAAAATAAGTACGATTTTAAGCGCAACCTATCAAAATGTTATTTCTCATATCAAATATGTATACACGAAAATATGAAAAATTATTAATAAACCTGACTAAAATAATTTTTTATATTTATTACAATATAACTCAAGTCATTCAGATACATGGCAACACTGTTTTAACAAACCGTACTGAGCATTATTCAGGGATCGATCGAGATATTATATTATTAGGGCTTGGAGTAGTCTTGGAGAGAATTTTATGACCGAAGATGTTCCTCGGATGATCATCCGATTATTGGAATCCTCGAGGATCAGTACTGGAGGATTGAAATCATCCGATTATTTCCAACACTAGTTCGTGCCATAAACTTTGGTACGGCTGATGTCGAAGATGGAGAGCTGGCCTCTGTGGAGCCGTCTCAGATACTGGCTTTTGTCAAAGCCTCTTAAACATTCTACATTCTACAACCCATTTAATGAATGCATGTTTATACTTATAACTAACGTATCGCAATCATCAGCTTTTCTATTTTCTAAGAAACTAGTGACCACCAGGCGAAGATCATTCCAAATAGTAAGATTTTGTTAATTTTATTTAAGATACATTTTGGCTGTTGCCTAGTGATATTAGCATTATCAGGGTTGAAATAAGATGAGTTTTTTATAGACAATATTTTTTTTAACTTTTTGAAACTGTGTTACATCTACTAAGGTAGGTTATGGTGTTTATCAGACTAGAACTGAAGCATTTGTTAAGTTAATACACTTTGTAAAGGGACCTACAGTAACTGAATAATACCTCGTTTACTTTGAATAAATAAATCATTATCTAAACGTTGGCTTCGGTCGGGGGTGTGTGCCGCTGTCAATAGCTATTAACCGATCAGCTATTAGCCTGACGCCGGAGCGGTAGTTAGTGGTTTTGTAGCGTTGGCTGCCGGTGCCGAAGCCAAAATCGCTGATACAGACCGAATTTCGACGGTGTATCGGGCTCTAGCCATCCGCTGCGCCCTCATTAATCAACGATTCGAACGGAAAATGGGTTATTTGAACACGTCTTTCGGATAAATAAATTTTGAGGGTGATAGGCTAAGTTTAGTATTTGGCGCATTATACAGTGTTAATTGAAGGTGCTTTTAAAACACCCTGTGCAATAATTTCGTGAGTAACTTTTCCTAAAACAGTACTTTTCGTTCAGAACCATTTTGTTTTTTTACTCATGTCAACACATGCTTTGGTTAATTTTTAAGAGCGAAATGAACTTGCCATCAACAATTTGCAATTTTTTCAACTGTTATTATTTTATGATGTTATTTTTCAATATCACGAGGTGGCTTTGTTGACTACTGTCGTAATGTCATATCGACACTGATTAGAACTCTATATCAAAATTAAAAAAAAAGAGTAACGATAAAGGCTTGACTTTAATAAATATTAGTAACACTAACAGAACTAAGGATATTAAAAAAATAACTGTAATTACTGAGTTTACAAGCAAAAAACTTGTAAAAAAATACTCTAATACTTTGTATTGTCTCCCCCGGCTGCTATAACTGTCGGTTCATAGTGTTAACGAGGCTGCAAATATATATTGTGTTATATTTTCCCTTTCTTCTTCAAGAACCAAGCGAATATTCATAATTTCGGCCATCTTGAACAAGATCAATGACTTTTGCACAATCTTCGATACTAAGAACTATATTCAATCGTACACAACAATAATCACCAAAGCCACCTCGTCATTATGAAGAATAACACCAAAATATAACGATAATTGAAAATATTACAAAATGTGTGTGGCAAGTGGATTTTGCTCTTAAAAATTAACTAAGGCATGTGTTGAAATGAGTAAAAAACCAAAATATTCAGGGGACATGGTTCTGATCAACACATAATATTTTAGGAAAAATTGTTCACGAAATTATTGCACAGGGTATTGAAAGATAGGGTAACAAACAACTCTTCGATTAACCCTGTATAATAAGTCAAATACTGAAGTTTATAATAAACTGAGTTTACGAATTAAAGTTGACATATTTATATACAGTTTGCTTTGAAAAAATCAAGGCAATAGTGCTAAAAATAAAAAAAATATAACTTTTTAAAGTTGACAAAAAAATTTTCCGCTGCGTTTTTTTTTGCATCTGAGTGTAAATGTTTGAATTTGAATTCAATATATTGTCTACATAAAGTAGTTCTCGTAGAAATCTACTATATAAAAATTAGGACAAAAATAGGAAAAATAAAAAAAAAATATAAATAAAAACACAAACAGAAAAACAAAATGATTTTATAGAAAAAAAAATAATTTACAAAAATATCAATTCGTATATTCGTATTCGTAAGTGAAACTGTCAAATTGCGTAATAATATTTCCTGGATTCATCTTGGTGCCAGGCTTGCATTCGAATTGTGAATGGAAATCATCAGAATTGGTTAAAAGACTGTACAATCGAAATAATGGTGGCATCTGTGGATTTTCATACAAACTTTGAGCCAACTCAATAATATTTTCTTTCTGGCAGTATTCTGAAATATATAATAATTGGCATTATTATGTTATAGACAGCGTATATTTTTAAGGTTTACAAATTATGGCATTTTTTATTTTATACTTTTATCATTATTACTGTAACAAGCTTTCCTTAATCAAATTTTTCATACAATCTTGTTTTAATACAATTCAATTCGAAAAAAAATAGATGGAACAAAGTTCAAAATCTCCACAATAAATTAGAATGAGTGCCAGTAAAACTTAAAAAAAATGACCGCATATTAAAATAAGATATTTAGTGTGTTAATCAATCCAACCCACAGTTCAAAATTTCTGGGCATATTACTGATCTATTATATTCTTAACATAGTTAACAAGTGGGCTTTAACATTGACAGGTATTCGTGAAGCACCTCACCAACTCAAAAACTTGCAGTCGACTGGCTGTCTAAAGAAGGTCTGCCTTACCATAATTGTTTTCCAGTTGTAATGTAAAGACAAGGACTATAGTGATAATAAACAAAAAGATGTTTGATGTGAATCTTTAATGACTGTAATAGTTTAAATATTACGAACATATTAATTTAGGCAGTTTATAAAACACTTCAAAGATTACCTTGTGCTATAATAATAAAAAATTGCTCCTCTGCACTAAAATCGTTTGAAATCCAGGGTAAAACTCCCGTGCTATTAATATTTTCGCTAAAACTTTCTGCAAAAGCCACTTTTAAAGCTAGGTTATCAGAAATTCTATTTCTGTTAGACAGAGCTTTTACAGAGTCCCATTTACTATCTTCTGGTAACTAAAACATATTATATCACAGTTAGGCTACCTCAACTAAATCAAGTACTTACCTTAAATGATATAAGTTGATTATTAAATTGTATGGTATCGTCCGGATATAAGTATATATTTATATTTTTGATAAAGTTTGAATAAAAGGATGATTTTAAATTCTCGTGAACTTCATCTAAAAATAAAGCTATTTCTATGCTTAAATAAAATTTCATATAGGTTTGTAAAATATATTCTGGTTCCTTGTTGTCCTTCATTTTAGAGACTTCATATACAAAAGCATTAGGAATCACTAAAAAAATTAAAAGCTTAGTTAAATATATAACTTAAAGAATATGCATACAGGGTGAGTCTTAATTAAGTGCAAATATTTTTAGCGGTAGTATATTTTGACCTCAGAAACATGCATACATTATGAGGTTTTCTCGCGAACTTTTTTTTTTGAAAATTAAATTTTTTTTTAAGTTAAAAACATAATTTCTTAATAATATGGTAACATATACCGGGTGCATCTGAAAAGTGGCTCACCCCTATAACTTTTTTATTTTTTGAGATATAAAAATGAGATTTGGTATGTGAGTATATGACATAAATTAGGATTGATTGACGTATTCAATTGTTTTTGGTTACTTGCTGCTTCGCCGGAAATGACTACGTTTTTTGATTTTTAAATGGCACCTTTGGTACTTTTTTACTTTATTCGATAGAAAATGACATTCAGAATAGAATGACATATGTCAACATTTGACATTCTCGCTTAATAAAAAATCGTATTTTAAAATTTAATCTAGAGTGCCTGGTCCATGTTAAAAACATTAATTCTTAACCAAGGAGACTTGGAAAAATAGATTTGATAGTCTAATGTTTTTAGTGTCTTGTCCTGGCCAGTTAGAAAATGCTCAAATCGTATTTTAATCATATCTCAGTTTTTTCAAATGGAACGAGGGTGGCTCATTAGCATATTTGGAAAAACCAAACCAAACGAATAATTTGATACCACATACTTGGTATTTCGAGTCAAATTTTCGTTACGAACAGCAAGTTACAATTTAAAATAAACCACATGCGAAAATGTCAAAAGTTGACATATGATATGTCATTCTATTCAGAATGTTATTTTCGATAGAATAAAGTAAAAAAATACCGAAGGCTTGATGTCTAAATGGCCATCAAAAGTTGTAGTCATTTCCGGTGAAACCGGAAGTGACCGAAAACAATTGAATACGTCAATCAATCCTAATTTATGTCATATACTAACATACCAAATATCGTTTTTTTAACTGAAAAAATAAAAAAGTTATATGGGTGAGCCACTTTTGAGACGCACCCGGTAGATAGTAGGTTAAATTTACCAGAAAGAAAACCCCGAAAAGATTTTGATTAGATTGATTTTTCTGGTTTTATTTTATCTATGTAATTTAGGTTAATTGCCCTGGGAGAAACCGCACAAAGAAATGAGAAACCTACTCCTACCTTTAGTAGTCAGACAGCTTCAGAGGCTTTTAGTCTCAGACAGTATCAGAGGGCTCCCTTATCGATCTTGATCTTCTCAGCGCAATCTTCACAATCAAAGACTAAACAGGAATCGTCTTTAAATGAATTTTATGTTCGAAGTTCAGACTTCCGGCGCGTACCAATTTTGTTGTACCACGTTTCAAAAGAAATATGCCACACTTCGCCTCGGGTTGAAAGTAACTTTGAAATATGCGGCAATTTAAAATTTAAAGATAAACTAAATTAAATTAATCATAGAAAAAATAACTATTATAATAAAGAAAAAAAAATAGCCAGCGGTTCTCAAAATTTAAGCAAAAATCATTTTTTTGGAAATTTTCAAAGTAAAATAACTCGGTTATTTTGGACTTATTTCAAAAACGGTAAAGGAAAAATATTTTTAAGTTTCTTTTATCAAGATTTAGCAGCCTTGAAAACATTTGCACTTATTTAAGACTCACCCTGTATGTAATAAGAACATAATATACTGTTACATATTATCCTTACCAATAGTGTCTTTGTATGAAATATATTTGGGATATTTTTCAAACGGTTTGTCCATCAAATTGTGTCTGAAACATAGAGAGGGTTAACGATTTCATCATTATAAGTAAAATAAAAAAATTGTTTCGTATCCCATAGTGCTGTGTAAGATTGTTTGTTCTAATGTTAGTTAGACAACTACTGAATTAGATGAATTACAATTATGCATGTATAATAAATTCAATAGAATTTAAAAAAAAATACTTTCTAGAAATGTAAATATCAAATAGAAAATTCGATATAAAGCTTTTCACAAAAATATCGCCCTGTATACTCACAAGTAAAATGTATTCATCGGATTACGTAAAGAATACGAATATTTTCTTCTGTTTTCAACTAGCATAAAAATATTCGATAGATGATCCTTGGAAACATATACATTTTCTAAAAGTGAATCAGAAAATTGTTGAGTATCTTTCGCATCTAAGAAATGGGCTAGTTTGAGAGAATCGAGCCTATTTTTAATTACGATTTTATTTGCTTCCTCTAACTGGGACTGATCAATTAACCAATAGAACTGGTCTTTTGTATCATTAAATGCGGTATTAATAATATCAGAATCTGATGATTTCAGATGTGTATATTGTATAAAAATTTGATTTGCTAATTCAGGCATCAATTCTGTGGCTTGATCCATACAATACTCGTCCTTGTCATCTAGGTCTTTCAAAAGGAATTTTTCTAGCTCCATCTGGAAGTACGTTACTATGTGATTTAGAATCTTTGTTTCGTTAGCTTTAACTCTAAAATATGAAATGTTTAATTAATTATCAAAAATTAGATTTGTTCTAGACAGGATCCGGCAATAGTGCGTCGGGCATTTGTAGCTCCTATAATAAAAACCTTAGAAATTCTGTTAAATTCTGTTAAATGTTAAAGTGAAAACCTGTGAAAACCTGATGTTACGCCCGTGTTTATAGTCGCGACGATTTCGTCGTTACTTGGTATATCAATAGAAATAAAAAATTAATATATAAAACTACTTACGCTATTTTAAGGTGGTTTATTAGTGGATGAAAATAGTTCTTCTCCATAAAAATATAAATAGTTGTACTTTCATCGAATTCTCCATAAGTTATGTTCTTAAACAAGTCTTTCCAATTTACTACATCTCCATATTTGTTTCTTAATTCAGCGATAGTTGTCTGAACATAATTTTTATTCAGAATTTCGTGTTGATAATTGAAATTGGAAACAGCAGACTAAAAAATAAGGTGTTAAACCACCAAAAAAATATAACTCTCAGTTTCGAATTTAGACTTTACGTTGTTGAAAATTACTGTAATACTCCAAGATAGATAAATTTATTATTGAAAGTTAATTTAGGTGTTTGTTTTGGACATCTCTTAAGGTGCGTACGATCTGACGAGACGAGTCAAGTGTGGACAGGTGTCGCGAGGGTCTTGCGAAACAACCCATGGAGTATCGTTGCTATCCGTCCTCTGTCGGTATTTCGACGACCGATGAAAGAAATCTTGTGTGAGATATTACGGCATGCTATACAATATACATACACATAGCTTGCTTGGCTCATGGTAGGCGTCTCTCAAAAAATGGATGGAAGCAGTTTCGCTCTTGTCTCGCTCTCGTCTCGCGCTCGTCTCGTCAGGTCTGTACGCACCTTTAGGATACCAATAATAGTTTTCTTATATTTTTTAGAAACTTACCGTTATCTGCGCGAAGAAATTTATAAAATTGTTTTGTTCTCCGACCTAAAACATGTTCTAATGTAAATTAAATAAACTTATAAATCATAAAAGCTTACCGATGTATTGTCAGAAGAAAAAAAGTTTTCTGTTATTTTTTTAAACATATCTTTCTGACAGGTCTTGAAACTTTTATAAACTTTGGGTAGGTTAATTTCTTTTTTATAATTTAAACTGGGATCCGCTGCATAACAAATCTCTTCAATGTGTCGTTTGAGGGACCATTTTTTTAAACCCACATTTTGGTAGCTTGTGCTTGGAGGTAATATCTGAAAAATAATAATATTAAATACATTCTATGTTCATTTAGTTCAAATGTCGTAAAACTAAGATATTTTAAAGTGATTGTTATACAAGGTGTCCCAAAAATAAGTGCAAGTATTTTAACTGGTAGTAGTTATAGTTCAACCTCAGAAACACGCCTATGGATTTTTTTTCGCGAAAATTTTTTTTTGAAAATTTTTTGGATTTTTTTTAGTTAAAAAACATAATTTCTTGATAATAGGTAGTAGATTAAATTTACAAGAAAGAAAATCCAGAAACGATCCAATGGTTCTCAAAATTTCAGCAAAAAATCATCTTTTTTTGCAAATTTTCAAAGTAAAATAACTCTGTTATTTTGGACTTATTTGAAAAACGATAAAGAGAAAATATGTTTCTTTTATTCTTTTATCGATATCTACCACCCCTTAAAATACTTGCACTTATTTCTGGGACACCCTGTATATCATAAGATATCGAATATTTAAACCATTAATCTGACAATACAGAGACTCCACCATATTGTCGTAAATTAAATTTATATAAAAAAATAGTTTTTATTTTTTTTATTAACAAATATTTTTAATAATTATAATATATAGAGATAATTAATCTAATTAACTTTATAATAAATGCATCGTATTTATCAAGTTATCAAAGGTATATAAAAAGAAAAATATAAAAATATTATCAAGGAATAATTCAGAAATAAATAAATTATATTTACCTGAATTCCATACTTCTTCTGATTGTTAATTGGTCCAAATTTGATGTCAAATAAAGGAGTGGATTGTCGTAATAGCAAAAATTTTAATAAAATTGTCAAATCATCCTTACGAATATTCATATTTCGAACTAAAATTGCGAACATATTGTAGTTAAAAAATATTTTGAATTACAGATATGAGTAATCCTGTATACAGAGTAGTTTTATTATAATCAGATCAGAAAGGTAAAGAAATAAAAATAAAATTTAATTATAATGTTTTAACTAAAGTAATTTCAACATCGATGGAAAAGGTGTTGAAGTTTACGAAAATATCTATTTTTCTATTGTTCAAATGATTAATCTTTTACTTTTGCCTTACAAAAAGTACATAAAAAAAATAAAAATATTAGGTTTGATGAAATTGTTTTTATTTATAATATAAAATGCATACAGGCTGTGAAAGGCTAAGAAAGGATATGTGCTATGCTAAATAAGGCTATGAAATACAGGGTGTCCCAGAAATAAATGCAAGTATTTTAACTGGTAGTACAGTTCAACCTCAGAAACACGCCTATGAGGGTTTTTTCGCGAATTTTTTTTTTAAATTCCAAATTTTTTGAATTTTTTTTTAGTGTTTATTTAAAAAACATAATTTCTTGATAATATGGCAACATAGATAGTAGATTAAATTTACACGAAAGGAAATCTAGAAAAGATCCCGTGGTTCTCACAATTTTACCCAAAAATCATTTTTTTTGGAAATTTTCAGAGTAAAATAACTCCGTTATTTTGGATTGGACTTATTTGAAAAACGATAAAGAGAAAATGTGTTCCTTTTATCGAGATCCCTTAACATCCCTTAAAATACTTGCACTTATTTCTGGGACACCCTGTGTATGAGAAAAATACATTTAGTTTTTGCCTCCCTGTATACTTACATCATATTTTAGAGTGATTAGTTTTGAAAAGCACATTGTTCTACTTGGTATATACAGATTTTGACACAATATTATTAAATTGTGATTTTTATGGCAACTTTTTGAGTAAAATTAGTTTGGAAAACACCTTTATTGAGAAGAAAACTTTAGAGAATTATTCTGTATATTTAAATAAAAGTTTTATAAAAGAATATATTTTTTATCTAATTACATTTCTTAAGGTGAAATATGATCTATTTTTTGTGACTAAGAATAAGAATGCTCTTAAATAATGTTGTAAAATATACAGAGTGATGATAATAAGAAAATAAACTAATTTTTGCATGAAGTGAAAATGGGGTTGAAGGGTCCTGAAAACTACCTGTATATAATAATAATAATAAACTTACCATTTTTATTTTTCTCCATCAAACAAGTGTTCCTTTCATAATCTACACAGGTCTCAAAGAAATTTCTAAACATCTTCATATTTCCGCCTTTTGGAATTTGTTCTTTGTAGTAAGCTTCGAGCAAAATTTTCGTTATTTTATCGGATTTAGATTTTGGATGGCGTCCACAAGAAAATTCATAAAAATTGTCACAAGGATCAGTAGAATAATCTATATGTTCTAATATTTGACTAGCTCTACCTTTACAGACAGCTGTCTCGCACAATTTTATTTTTTCTGTGACGTTCTGCACAGTTGGTTCTTTTAGAATTACAAGTGGTTTACTGGTAGTTTTGGCACTGGTTTTTGCTTCTTGTGAAGTTGTTATTCCTTGCTTGTTATTGTTGGTATCTGATTTGAATTGTATAGTTGTCTCAGATACTAAAATATTCAGCAAAGAGTTACTTGTGGTTTTAAAACCATCTTCAAAATTTGTTTCTTCTGTAGTGGACTCGAGGTTTTCAGGTTTGTTTCCCAGTATGCTTTGTGTAGTTTTCTCTATAAAGAAATCTCTGCTTGTCAAATTTCGTGCAGAAGACATAGTGGTTATTGAAATATTTTCTAAAGATTCATCAAATCTGTCTAAGTTATTTTCAGTTTGATATTTAATAGTGTTTTGAGTAGTAGTTGGGTCCTCTAAATTAAAGTCAGATATATTTTTCTCTGTATATCCGGTTAATTCTTTTATACTTTCACCCCTTTCTGTTGTTGAATCTGTATTTGAAGATACGAAATTTCCTTGATGTGTTGAATTTTCAACCACAAACTTGGTATTTCCTTTTAGGTCACTTTGTTCAGTTGTGATAGGAACAGTATATTTATTTTCAGTTGATGTATTTCCTGTTATATTCTTTGATATATTTTTAAGTCTTTCTGTCGTTGTTTGTGACTCTCCATCCGTGGATTCAGTATATTTCTCAATATATTTTATGTCTTGATCCCTGATGGTTGATTCAGTTAAAATTTGTATCAAATTAGTAGTTCTATATTGGATATTTTCTTGTGCAATATTCTCTTCTGTTGTTGATATTTTCCATAAGCTTTCAGTTGACTTACTTCTAATAATATTTTCACTGTAATATTGTATATAATCATTTTCTATTACATTGTCGGTAGTTTGTAGCTTTTCTTGTTGAGTATACGTATTTTGACTTGTATCAGTAGACGATTGAACATAATTTTGGCTTGTCATATCAGTTTCATTTTCAATTTCTGGTGAACCAAATGAAGTGGACAATTTATTTTCAAAATAATTTTTTGGTGATGTTACTTCAAAAAATTCTGTTTTATCTATTGGAAAATCTGAGGAACTTCTGACCAAATATTCCTTAGTTGCACTTTTAGGTGACGTTTTAACTGTATTTTCTGTAGTTGTAGAGATGCCCAAATTCTCTGATAAATTAGATGATTTTTTTGTAACAGTTTCTGGTTCACCTATATTATAATCTGTTGAGTACTGAGAAGTTACTTCTTTAATATTAGAAACTGTGGTTTTTGTCTTTATTTGTTCTGAATTACTTGAACTAGTCCAAATAAGATTGTGCGTAGATAAATCGGATGATTTTGTTGTAAACATTTGTTGTATAGTTCTGTCTTGTATTGTACTTTTAATATTAGGATTCTTTGTACTAGTGGTATTATTTGAATTAGGGTAAACTTTAGTTATTTGCTTTGAATTGTTTTTTTCGTCAGTATACACAGTCTCTTTTTCCAATTTATCAGTTATTGGAATTTTATTTGTACTAGATGAAACGATCTTTTCAGTAAATTTTTCGATATTATCTTGTAAAAGTTCTTGTTCTTCTTTTGAGGAATTTGAGTGAGATTTCTATTAACAATAAATCATAAGTTAGTTATTAGAAAGATAATGATAATAAATACGGTGGCCGCCAAAAAGTCTGTATCAAATGATTTTTTTATTTTTCTAGGTTTTTCTAGGACAGATAAAATTACTTTTAGAACATACTTGCGCTACTTAGCTTACCTGTTAAATTTTATATTTATTATTAAAAATGTTGAAAAGTGACCTTGTTTATTAAATTTTTCAGTTTAACTACAGTTTCTTAGGTAATATCAAGATAATAATACTATGTTGTATTTTTTGTTAAACTGTTATAAATATTGTATACCAAGAAGGGGGTTTGCATCCTATTTGAGACTATTAATAAGTAGTGGGGTAAGTAGAAGTAAAATAAGTAGTTATTAGATTGAGTAATATAAAATAATTCTGCATGGAGACATGGAACAGTTTATATACAAGGACTGATTGAAAAAAATAACAATTATTGTAGTGACCAAATTTTGAAGGTAGAATTGTGAAACTAAACTATATTTTTTTTTAATTTTTAATAAATAATAGTCACTTCTAATATGCAGTGTAAAACTAATATATATGCACTTCCTTTTGATGAAGATTTTCTTGCAGACACGGTAGGTATATTATGCTTACCGATTTTTCATCTTTTGAACTTTGTATCGCCCATATAGCACTTGACACTAACATCCAAAACACCAAAAGTAATAACATAAATGTTATCATTGACCGAAAAGACGAGTCTCTGTATCGTTTTACTTTCTTTCCATTATAGAACCCATTGTCTTCATTAACCACATAAGTCCTTCCAAAACAAGCCATAACGGTTCACTTTTTAATTAATAATTTGATGTTAACGTTTAAACATGTAAAATATAGACTAAGAAAAGATAAACATTATTAAAAGTTAATTGTATTTTGGTCATAGGGTGTATACGCAAATTTTATTAATATACTACCTATGATGTTATTATTATATATGCAATAGAATTAACGTAAGCGTAGTGTGCTAGAAATATCTAATTGTACGAAGGAAATAAAAGGTTTTATCAAATTTTTAAGTGACCAGACTTTTATCTTACAAACTTTCTTTAATGTTTCAAATTTTTAACCGCAATGTTAACCGCAACAGGATGCAACTGTTCTGTATTTTACATACCACAAATCAAACAGCACATTTTTTATTTAAAATTAAAGTATGATTTATAATAAGAAAAAAAAACGATACCTTAAAATTTAAATTTAAAAGCATAGAATAAAAATTAGAAAATATTCTGTGATTATTCTATTAGTAGGGCAATTTTGACTATTTTTTAAGCAACTACTTCGCTACTTTCAACTACTTTTTAGCCGAACTACTTCGCTTTTTAGGCTTTATGTAAATTAAAAATTAAAGTCTTAATCGGTGTAGTATACGTGGAAAAACAACTGTTGATATTTTGGTAACAGTTTGAAACATCTTGTGGCATGTGGTATGGTTTAACAAAATTAGGAATTTAATAACCAATTTATCATGAAAAAAAAAACATCTTTTCTCTGTAGTTTTCTTTTGATGCATCTGTATAGCTTTAATTTTATTGCAGATATTTGCATTTGAATAAGACACTAAAGATTTATAGCAATTTTAGAAATAAAATCATGCCTAAAAAATAAACTTTTGGGTCTTATCAACATACCTATGAAATAGAGTTTATTGTATTTTGAATGTCACTGTCATTGAAAAGGCATATTATTACTGTCTGTTAGCAGTTTCAGCATGTTAAATTAGAGCAACAATAGCCCATTAAAACTTCTTCTCCTTAAAAAAACCTCTCTTCCTAGACTAACTGCCAACAAACAATACTAGATATCTTAAATGACAGTGTTATTACAAAATCAATAAAAATTATATCATAGTTATTGATTTTGTAATGACACGTAGGTGTGTTGATTAGGATTAAAGGCAAATGCTTGTTTTTAGTGCCAAGATTGTTATTAACTATTCATATCTTCTTCAAATTTAATATCTCTAGCAAATAACACACTACTGCGATGAATCAAAAATCAAACTATCATGAAACGATGCACCTTGATGATATAGGTAATAATAATGTGACTTTTCCATGACAGTGACATTCAAAATACAATAAACTCTATTTTATATTTATGGTTAACTTTTTCTTGGTATTTGGTCTACTTTTAATAATACAATAATCGTTAGGTGCGTAGAGAAGGTTTTCGAATGTTCTCGTATGTACTCGTCCATTCCAGTGGGACTCGATTCTTCTCGAACGAATGAATCATTGCGGTGTCTATGCGATGTTAAGGTCATCCGAGGGCGGGCCATATTGTGAGGTTAGGTCGAGTCCACACCGGCCCGCAACAATATTTTGTCATTTACACACATATGTCCAAACATTTAATTACATTAATTGACATTAACAAAATGGCACGCACAACATTTTAAAAAATTATAAATAAAATTTCGGTAAGTTCTGTTCCGCCGGTCAATATTCTAGTTAAACGAAAACTCTGTTGTGTACTCTGTGGACGGTTCTGGGGTTGATTCTGGAGTGGAGTGTTCGCTTTTTTTTAGCTAGATCGTTTGCTTTTTCGTTGCCTTCTATCCCTTGGTGAGTAGGCACCCAGAGTAGGAGGACTTTATTTTTTTTGCCTAATTTGTTCAGCTTCTCTAGGCATTTTTTTACCAACTTCGAATTGATGGTTACTGAGTTGATCGCTTTTAGTGCTGCTTGATTATCGGATAAAAAGGCTATTTCCTGTTTTTGATAGTTCCTATCTAAGATCAATTGTACGCATTTTTCGATAGCGTAGATTTCTGCCTGAAGGATGTTGGGGTAGGTGCCCATTGGTTCGGAGTGTTCAGTTTTCAGTTTTTTCCAGTTTTCGACCTAAATACTCCTATCCCTGTCCCTGGTTTGGTTTTGGAAGCATCAATATACCACGTTATGGTATGGTCTTTTACATGCTGAGCAAACGTTTCTCTCTTCCAATCCTTTTTATTGCTCAATACTACATTGAGGTGTTTCTCAAAGTTTCAAGTAAATTCTTGGTATGTCATCCACTGGTAGTTGGAGGAGTAGAATTTTCTTTCTTAGGGTGTCCAAGCCCCTGACCTGAAAATTCTCCCAGTGCTGAATCCGTCAATGACCATTGTAATCATTGTCGCCATTGTTGAATATCTCCTATAAAAATAAAGCTATTGGGATCAACCAAAAATCAAACTATCGAGAGAAAATGTACCTTGATATTTAAAATTTCTTTTACTATGTTAAATCCTTGGTATGCATACTTAAAGTGTTAAATCATTAAACAGGATGTCCCAAATTTTTGTCAAAATAACAATATTTTGTTTTTCCTAGTATAACTGGCAGATGAGGATATAATACATTTTTTAATTTAGAGAGAGAGATTAAAAAGTCAAATAACTTAGCTACATATTGCTCAAAAATTATCCAAATTGGCCAAAACGCACAAAATATGCTGAATTTTAAAATAAATAACAATTTTAATGTACCGGTTTATCGTGCTGGTCAGTATATGTATTATGAACAGAATTTTGAGTTACTTTTTAAGGCCCACTAAATAAATTTCAGATTATAGCATATCTTCTTTTTTTTATTTTATATTTTTTGTTTATTTTCGTTTTTTGTTGCTTTAAAATTTGTTTCACTTATTCTAAATTTTAGTCTTTAGGTTTCTTTCAATTATTATTGCAGCCATCTATTAAAATTTTGATTAGGCAAAATATTTTCCACGAATTCCTTTGAACCATTTTCATGCATTCTTTCCTTTTGGATGACATGAAAACGTCAATAATTCTATATGAGGTTGATGTCTTGTAGATGGCGCGTTAGGCTAAAAATCGATATTAAACATAGAGATCTTCAGAGGATTTGAATGAAACGGATTTATATAAAAATATGTCTACTAATTTTGAACACATATTTATTATAAAAATATTTTAAAGTTACTATAAATAAATTACACCTAATAACATTAGTAATATCGGCAGTTTCTAGATTTAAATAATAGAATTGTGTAAGATGAGAATGAGATGTCACATTTATATCCTTTTTATATAAATGAATATAACGTTTTGTACAGTTTTGTATTTTCTGTAGCCATTTTACCTCTATGCATATAAATATATAATATTTATGACCGTATATATCTACTCAAGAATCAAATATCTAATAAAATCATGATCAATTAGATTGACTAGTCTAGATACAGTTTAGTTTTTCTTTCATTGCGGCAGTGATAAACTTTGTCTATAACATTAAACATTTATTGTATAAATAGTAGATATTATAGATAAAAAGCTGAGAATATAATTAATGTAATAAAACAGTGACATTAAATTTTACATTAAGTACATACTTATAATATTTTATTGTTTGTCAAATTATTAAATATTACAAATTAAGGTTAACTAGAAATACATCATAATCCAAATATTTCAGAAGCAAGCGTAGTATACAGGTACTGTATTATAACTTTGTATGATCAAAAAAACTATTATAATGAAAAATTGCACGCAAAAAAAATCGCTGTTACATCGCTGTCATGTAACAGCGATTATTATTACATTTTTGAATGTTGTTTATGAAAATCTTTCCTGCCGACTCGTTAGAGAAATTTTAGCATGTTAACTAACTGTCAAAATCAAAGCCCGCTTGATTTTGACATCTACACTTGTATTGCCACTTGATAAAATTATTTGATTTGTATAAGACTAGTATATGAAAAACCAGAAACTACATTTAAACTAGCCTCTTGGCAGTGGACTGTACACACATGACTACAGAAAATTCGAGTTTTTTCGTTTATCGTTTTTTTCTTAACCTAGACCACCTCCAGCTAACGAAGCTAGCGCTGCTGAAGGAATTCCAAGCTTCTTTTTCGTACTTGCTCCATGGAGATGATCTCCACTGGGTTGGAAGCCGTTTTCGTCGGCGGTATAGTGGACAGTGTACATTTTTCCGTCATTGCCCATGTAATTGTATTGTCCTTCCACTGCTAGCGATTCCTGATTGGAGCTTGGGTTCTTGACATCTCCGACGACTGCGTGGCTGATTCCATTGCTTGTCTCATACCTAAAAGAAGGATACTTGTTAACATACTAAATTAAAAAAGCAGTTTTTAAATTATATGGTAATATAAATACCTACAGGGTCGCTGTTATATATGGAAACGGTCGATTATTAGGAAAAACCAAACCAAAATGTTAAATACAAAAGTTATAGGATTTTGAAATATCTATTAGCAAGTAATAAATTGAAGTATACAGGGTCGGTGATAAAGTCGTGGCACATAAAAGTTTAATTTTTTAAATGGAACCCCTTGTATATTACTGCATATTTCAATTCTTCCTTCAATTCTAAGCAAAAATCGAAATAACACAATGTACCTCAAACCAACCGTTTCCGAGTTATTGACTTTTGAAAATATCAATTAAACAATTTGATTTAATTAATTTCGATATGTACCGTTTCATTTAACGATGCCGAAACTGTGATACTTAGTAATATTTGACATTAATTCTCAAGTTAGCATTTATACTCCGCTGGCAAGCAAACCTTTAGGTCCTTCCCCTAGGAGATGCAAGACCTTGTCGTTGGTGGGGAAGCTCCTGGTCAGGTGCTGGGGGGCATCCCCTCTAGCACTTGGCTTGGTCTAAGAAGCATCTCACTCATCGTCTTGTCCCTGACTGTAGTGTCGTGGCTAGGGAATTGCACCAAGACATATAGCGATACCGGGCGGGGCTACGGACAGCCTCAACCTTGGGGCACCGGGGAGCACCCCATTTTATTTTACCCCTTACTTCTACATGCGGGGCTCTGTAGAAGTGGACCGACTGTCCCTAGCGACTCATAGGAACACTATGAGATCTGATAATAATAGTAATAAAAACATCACCGGTGAAGCTGTGGGGAAACCCCCTAGCGACACTGGGAACAGTAACAATGAAAGTTCCAAGGGGCCAAACCCAAAGAGAACTACAGGAGAGGTGGCTGACACTTGCGTGAGACCATCCTCCGCAAGTGGCATACAAGCTACCACCTCCTCCAAGGGTCGGGAGCCTACCTCCTACCTCTAAACCCAACAGGCGACACAAGCTACCGTTTCGTCTACCCGGCCTGGGTCGTAGCTCCTCGACTGTGAGGGACACGGGTCTCTGTAGGAAGTCCTGGGACTGTATGATGAGTTATAACTCAAGAAAGGGGGACACAATAGATCTCTAAGGTCGCAGAGATTAACCCCCCTCCCACTTATTCTAATTCTAAACCTTTAGGTCGGCGTTTACATGTATAGGAGTGAGTCGTTATGGCAATCTAGTAAGTCGGAGTGAGCAAAAATACGAAGTATTTATTACATACTACTTAATCTGATGTTAGATTCCATGCGCTTGGGAAAATACTCGCCTTCTGTCTTTATTCAGTACATCTTATTTTATTAAGCGTGTTGACCGTATTCTTCGTACACATGAAAACCGGTACCCAAGACCAGAAATGCCGACCCTTAGTAGATGTACAAAATGAGATTATATCAAGTCTGGAAATTACAAAATTTTCGTTTAACAATTCAATTCTTCAATTTATGTACATTGTGTATTACGATTATTGCTTTAAATTGAAGGAAGAAATGAAATAATATAAAGGGGGTTTCATTAAAAAAAAATTGATGTGCCACAACTTTATGACCGACCCTGTATAGTTAAATTTACTAGTAGCCAATAGACATTTAAAACCCCGTTACAACAGTATCACAGTTTCGGCAGAATGGCATCATTAAATGGAACTGAATATATCGAAATTAATTCAATCAAATTGTTTAAGTGATATGTTCAAAAGTCAATAACTCGGAAACTGTTGGTTAGGTTTGGTGTATTTCGATTTTTCCTTAGAATTGAACGAATAATTGAAATATGCAGTAATATACAGGGGGTTCTATTTAAAAAAATGAAACTTTGATGTGCCACGACTTTATGACCGACCCTGTATAAATAAATTTATTACTCGCTCATAGACATTTAAAACCCCTATAATTTTTGTATTAACTTTTTGCGGTACCTTGTAGATTTTACCTAATAATCAACCGTTTCCAAACATAACAGCGACCCTGTATAAATAAAAAGTATACTACACAACAAATATGCCGCTATATTAGATAATCAAGGCTATGCTAGTGCAATATTTAAACAAAGGAGCCAAGAGGTACGTAAAATATAGGCACTTTTTATTAACTGAAATTCATTCAATCATTAAATCAAATCAAGATTTTGTTGTGTCATTGCGTCTTCATTAAAATCTTTTCAAACTAAAGTAAAAAATCCCCAAAATTATCGTATTCTTGAAAACATATTTTGAATCATATTTTGTTATTTATTTTATTTTTTTTTATAAAAATTAGTCTAAAAAGATAATAATTTAAAATTCAGTAAGCTTATACTCACTATGCGTTCATGCGGTTCGTCTTGTAACCCCCTAGTCACTGATACTTCGAATTGATGCGTTGTGTCGCGGTTCGGCAAGAAGTCGATTTTTGGAGGAAACATCGATAGAAATATTACGGACGAATTACCGAGTCGCATCGAGGAACCGCATTAACGCACAGTGATTATGGGCTGACAAACCGCATTGACGCATCACTATGCGTGCATCTTCATATCAACGCATCAAATTATTATATATTTTATATACTGGGTGCGTCTCGAAAGTGGCTCACGCCTATAACTTTTTTATTTTTTCAATTAGAAAAACCAGGTTTGGTATGTTATTATATGATATAAAATAGGATTGATTGAAATTGTTTTTGGTCACTTTCTGTTTCACCGGAAATGAATACAACTTTTGATTTTTAAATAGTATCCTCGGTATATTTCTACTTTATTTGATAAAAAATTACACATCATATGTCAACTTTTGACATTTTCGCTTAAAACAAAATTGTATTTTAGATAATTAAATTTCAATCTAGACTGCCATGGCTGTGTTAAAAACACCAATTTTGGATCAAGAAGCATTGGAAAAATAGTTCTGATCGTCTAATTTTTTTCGTGTCTTGTCCTGGCCGGTTAAAAGATGCCCAAATCGTATTTTTAATCAAATTTCAGTTTTTTCAAATGGAAGATGGCACATTAGCAAATTTGGAAAAAGCATTTTTTATGAATAATTTGATACCACACACTTGGTATTTGGAGTCAAATTGTCGTTATAAACCACATGTTACAATTTCAAATAAACTATATTTGAAAATGTCAAGTGTCATTTTCTATCGAATAAAGTAATAAAAAACCCAGGGTGCCAATTAAAAATCGAAAGTTGTAGTCATTTCCGGTGAAGCAGGAAATGACCGAAAACAATTGAATACGTCATACGTCAATAAATCCTAATTTATGTCATATACTAACATACCGAATCTCGTAATCTGAAAAAAATAAAAAAGTTATAGGGGTGAGCCACTTTTGAGATGCACCCGGTATATGCTATATTTTTCTCTAAAACGGTATGTAAATTTGAACAAGTATAAGCGAGGTTAACCATTTTAGGATAAGCAAAAATACACACTTTTATAAAGAATGCCTTTTTTCAAAATGTTTGATAATAATAAAACAAGTTTTCCTATTGTAAAGCCAATTGGGGGACATGATGTACTCTGCAAATTTTAAAATAGTAATAATTCCTTTACCAAACCAAACCAAAACATTCGCGACATTTTCGTATAAAAAAAAAACAAAAAAAATTGCTATTGTAATTTCAAACCACACCATCTAAGAAGAGTTTTGTGTTACAAAAGATATAATGTGGTTCCGTCACGGTTCCGTTTAAAGATTACACAATTAGTCAAGGACAAAAGCGTTGGTTTACTTCTAAAGACGCATCATCTTTTTTTATTCCTATTACCATGATATGAAATGGAATAATTCAAACGACATTCGTATTACACTACAAAATATACTGACTGTAAAAAATAGTGTACCAAACTTTAGTGATTTTTTTATAAAAATAAAACAAAAAGTAAAATAATAATGGAATAAAAATAATTAATGTTAAATAATTAAATATGTCCAAAATGTGTTTGACTTATGCATTAAACTATCACTGACAGTTAAATTTCCAATTTTTCATCCTTAATGAAAAATTAGTTTTTTAACACAGCCATGACACTCTAGATTGACATTTAAATACGATTTTTTTTTAAATATAAATGTCAAAAGTTGACATATGATACGTCATTCTCCATGAGTGTCATTTTCTATCGAATAAAGTATAAATATACCGAGGGTGCCAATTTAAAAATCAAAAGTTGTATATAGTTATGTAATATTATTTTTGTCCGTTGCATTTTATTTTTTATTTCTTTATCTATGATCTTATACGTTATGTAGCATACCTGTGACGTAAGTAGTTACCGCTTCGCTCCTATTGGTCCAAAAGTTACGAGGCAACCTGTTTAATATAGTAACCTTGGGCAAAACTGTGATTTTGTCATTTACTTATCAAATAGGACTAACTGCGTCAAAAGTTCTGCAACTCTCTATTTTTTTTTTGTTGAACAAATCTAACGTGGTTGAGCTAATAGCAATAGAACAAGAAGCACTAGAGACAGAAAACACACACTTTAAAATACCGAGGTCGCACGTGACCTTCATAAAATTCCTGTTCATCCTAAATAGCATTAAACATTTTCACAGATTCATCGTTCAAGTTCACTCTTTTTTTTCTCGATCTAACTGTTAATTTCCCGCTCACCTAAACCGATTTATAATGACGCATAGACACGCCAACGAAAGTAAAATTGTTCGGTGAAACACTTTTGAAGACGTCTATGAATTTGAAATCAATTTGACGAGGAGATGAAAGAGAAAAATTCATGGAAAGTAAATACAAATTATTAGGCGATCAAATAATTTTTGACTTTCATCGCCAGCCCACTGTCAAATTAGCTTTTGATGATATTTTAGGTAATGTGAGTAAATAGTTTCGTCATGTGTTTTTTTCGCATTAGGTTTTTTTGTATAAAATATTTTCTTGATTAGTTTCTCTTTAGTTATGTTGACTTTGTCAATACGATATAAATTCAAACACACACAAAACAGCGATTTTGATATTATATTAATGAAAAAAATTGATGTATTCCTACATTTATTATTTTCATTATATCTTCAGGAATTGGAATTATACAGTATGTCCTAATATTCCGTGGAAAAAAAATTCAATTTTTTTTATCTCAAAAACTGCGACTTTGACTGATTTTGATGTTATTAGAAATTTTGTTGCAAATATTATTCCTAATCTTAAATTGAAAACCGCGTTTCGCTAGCTACTGTAATTTTGGAGTTACAATTTTTTTAAATTTTTACCCCCCTCCCATACCCCCATGTATGGCGATACAATTTTACTGGATTAATTGTACCGACTACAGATTTTCTGTTCGTAAGATGGTCCCTCTAATATTAACTACATTTTTGTCTCTTGTAAAAAATACCACATCGCATAGTTTTTGAGAAAAAAAATTGGAGAATTTATTTCTCCAACGCAGAACTACAAAATATACAAGGAGTTCCAATATTCCGTGGACATAGAACAACTACGTATTTTTTGAATCAAAATAAGTTAATTGCATATAATTTACTTTTACACAAAAGTGCTTCGTTTGTCTTGGCTGCAAAATAAACCCGAATATTAATTAATTTAAAATTTATTAATTGTTTAAGCTTTTTAAGAAGCTTATTGTCAAATATATTATTTGTGATACGAACATACTATTCCATATTTTTGCCAATATCTATTTATCAGAGCGTAATAGATTTTACGACAAATTAAAATTTATGTGGTAAAAAACATTTTTTGGAAGTCAGCTTTGGAAAAATAATATTTTTCCTCAAAAAGTATGCGCGGTGACGTTTTTTTTACAAGAGACAAGAAATGTAGTAAATACTAGAAAGGCCATTTTACGAAAAAAAATGGTCATCGATTGAGTTGCGAAATAACTATAATAAAATTTATGTGGGGGTGGGGGTAGTTTTCACCCTTCCCGTATTTTTCTTGATTTTTTTGAAGTTAAATATTAAAGCACTTAGCAAAACATAGTCACCCAAAATCTTATTCAAATCGGAATAACGGTTTTTAAAATATCTGGAAAAATGTGTTTATTTTTTTAAGTGATGCCCTCTTCTAACCTCTAACGGACACACGAAGCATTTTTGTGTAGTAAATTGTGTCCAGTGAACTTATTTTGGTTCCCAAAATACGTAGTAGTTCTTTGTTCACGGAATTTTGGGACACCCTGTAATATTTTAAAAACATAAGAAAATCAATTCTATTTTTAAGAGTTTTTAGGAATATAATAAACGTTTATTAGCCTACCTTATTACCACTACTATTTGATCTATCTTAATTAAAATAATATACCCTACGATAAAAAAACGGCGTCAAAGGCATTTGAGGAATGACAATCGATGATAATTTTGGCCAGGTCAAGCTCTAGACGTGATTTATTTGGTCCGTACCCTTTTTCATTTTTAATGCCGCTTACTGCCACTTGGCCTTAAGAAGGTTCTAATTAATTTTTCTATTTAATAAAAATGATTTTTAAATGGTGTAATTTCAATTTTTTTAACGTTCTATCCATTTTTAATCTGTCTATAATTAGCGTTAATTTTTGACAAGTTTTATGTCAATTTTTAGTAAGTGACGTCGCAGCTTATGAAACAGTTTGCATGGAACATCCTGTATAAAAAGTACAAAAAAACATAAATTTACTTCTGTACCTGCTTATACATAGATTTAAGCGTTTATTATAATATGGATATTGAGAAATATACAAAATTTTAAATTAATTATTTACACATTAATTAAATTAATTCTTCTTCTTACAGTGATATACTCTATACAGAGCGTCGGCTACCTCTCGCATGTACTTGTGATGTGTGTCATCAGTGTTTCACAAATATACGGGACCTACAGTTTGTCGCCGAATCCGAACGGCACTATTTGAGAGGCTGTACAAGGCAATTATACTCAAGGTGGTTTGCCATCTTTTGCCATTGCCTTTCTTGAGGTGGTCGCTCTATTTAGATAAATCAATATTTTTATTTAAATAAATAAAGCGACCGTACTGCCAAAAGATCAAACCCAGTACCATCCCATCTCTCGCACCGCAGATCGACACACTAACTGCTTGCGCAAGTAGTTAGTTAAATTATAATAATGAATAGTTGTTAAATTAATTACTTACGCATATTCGAAGCCTTGAGAGTTATCCAAATCGAAGTCATTTCTTAATATTTTTGCTTCAGGCTCTCCCTTAGGCTGTGGTTGAGGCTGTGGTTGAGGCTGTGGTTGAGGCTGTGGCTTATGGTGTGGCTTAGGGTGTGGCTGAGGGTATGGTTGAGGGTATGGCTGAGGTACGAAAGGTTGATAGTGTATTATTGGTGGAACCTGATATATAGTATTTGTTACAGGGTACAAATAAGGAGGATGCGCCTTTGACAGGCCCAACAAGGCGAGCAATACAAGAACCTGCGAACAAAATACATCGTTAATCAACTGATTAATTACATTTCAAATTAAGTCTTCTTTGGTTCAAGTTAAGTTTGAATCAAGATTTGAATAAAAATCTGAGTTTGTGAAAGTGAAAATGACGTAAATTCTTAATGGACTTACGACGTTATCTGGGTATTGGTATCGTACACAAGCTGTTGTCCTCTTCAGGAATATTAATCACTGTTATATAACAAAATCTTGCATCGGTATTGATCTCGTAGATAAATTAGAGTCAAGGCAATCTATTCTACTCAGACAATGTGGTATTTTGGTTTAGGAGGGCTTATTAACCACTCATCTTAATAGATTTATTTACAAATCGGTGATGTGTGTCTAGCGTTATAATGCATATTTTGTAACAATAATTTACTAATAGTTTGCCATAGATTTTGATTATTATATAATATTTAATCGATATCATATCTTAATAATTAGGAATAAACAACTCTCTCTTTGATTTGATCGATAAATATATTTATACAAAATGTCCTTAAGCTTCATTCAGACCTTCCTAATTAGTGGAATAAATTAGTGGTTTTAATTAGCGTAGAAGTTTGTTTCTGTAACTTGAATGTCAGAACGTCAAAATTAGTGATAGTTAAGTTAATTAAGTTAGTGGTAGTCATTCAGAACGTTAAAATTAGTGGTAGGAATTTTCAATTAGTGGAAAATTATTAATTAGTTAACAAACTTTTAACTTTTCCACTAATTATACTTCAAAATTTGCGACGAATGTCATTTTGGCCTTTGATTATCATCCGTCAAGACAAAATTTGGTTAGACATGAAAAGTTTATTGATTTATAAACTAAATATTGGGCTTTCTCTATGGATACGACTGACTACTGGAAGCCGTTGCTAGGATATTCTATTAATTTTAATTCTGTTATTTATACATTGTGAATGATCGTAAACTAAAAAGTATAAAGTGTAATTGAAATTACACAGTGTAATTTATTCCACTAACTACGAGGTTCTGAATGAAGCTTGAATTACTAATACAGACTTATCAAATAGTATATTTTTAAAAGATTTATTTACAAATTATTGGTATCAAAACAAATTATTTAAAAAAATGGGTTGGTATTTTTAAAGAAGGAATATTGTATCCACTCACCTTATTTTAAAATCATAAGCGAACCTTGAGTCATAGCAAAGTGGTGGAGGTCGGTTAAGTTGCCATTCAGATTTAGATACAGATATACAGGGTGGCCCATTACAACCCCCACTAAGAATAACAGAATAAATCCGCGAATGAAAACATACATATCCTATCCTGTATTTTTATGGCGTCGCCAAAATCGCAATATTTAATATGCTATATCTGTATTTTTTTTAAATACATGCACACCGTGTATATTATTTTTCGTTTGGATGCAAAATTAAAAAACAAAAATTTATTGTATTTAAAGTTTTCCTAAATTATGCATCCAAACAAAAATTAATACACACGTTGTTGTATTTAAAAAAATAGAGATTTAGCATTTTAAATATTGCAATGTTGGCGACGCTATAAAAATTACCTTGTAGAGGATAATGCAATTTTTTCTTCGCGGGTTTATTCTGTTATCCTTGGTGTTTAGGGGAAAATATAGTTAAGGTATTAATAAACCTAAATTCACTTTAGGTTTTAACCACTTATCGGATATAATGTTTTCAACCAAAGTTTCAGTAAATAGGAAATAAAAATAGCGTACTATATGTAGAATTTTATGCTGAATCCAAATCTGTACAGAAAAATGGCGGGTGCAGTTTAAACTTAAAACTTCATCATAACTTTTTTTTGGGACATCGTGTATACAACAAATATTTTTAGGATATACACCATTATAAACCATGCAACATCTGAATGAAACTTTTTTTCATAACTTCAATAACAATGCGTGAAGATATTGAACTTCTTCGCACTAATAGGCCACCCTGTATGTACAATAACTAATACTAAACAAAGTCAAATATATATTACAATTATATAGACTTTGACTAAAGTGTAAAAATGAAACACTCCCAAAGGTTTCTCACTTGTTTTCTTCAGCTGGGATGATAAAATAAACACCTTGAGGACAAGCAGAATAAGAATCAGCAACCTCTTTTATTCAGCAACCTCTCTTCTTCAGAAGACAACATACATCTCAGTCGAACGTAGGACGAAGGGAATGGAAATTAACGTTGGAAACACTATGCAGCTTCATACATTTACCATCTACAGCTTATATAATATCAGCTGGTCATCTTTGCTATTTGGTGAGCGCCTAAATACTGCGCCTATTCTTGTACACATGCCAGTAGTTATATTACATATTAGTCTCGTATTTTATTTAATGAAGCTCAGAAATCGACTAGTTATATGACGTGAGATAAGGAAAAATCAATCTAATTGCCATGTAAACGATAGTAAGTCTGGTTAAAAATAGACTGTGCTGCTATTTCGTTGCCTCAAAATCGAACTAAAGATCAATAAGTAAGTTGGTAAAACATCAAGTGCACCTGGGTGAAGTCCAGTCTCGTGTTATTGCCACCTTCTTTCCTACATTAAATTGGATCAAAGATATTAAAACACAGTGGTTTAAATACACACTGTGAATTTTAGGGGTTCAGTGCTAATATTTATTGGAAGTCTTATTCGTCTTCAATAAAAAATAACGAATTTCAAATAACAACCCAAAAAATGGTTTCTGTTTTCTGTAATGATGTAGGTATGGGAATAAAATTGGCCAATAAAGTATAATATTAAGTTTATATGAGTTAGACACACCAACGGTACATTACATTGTAAGTAGTTTGTCATCATCATCAACATTTGGCCGGGTTCTTATTTGCTTTCTATTTAGGACATCCTGGAGAATGAACTTTCCGCTTCACAGCTAGTTGTTACAACATTAAAAATACTATTAAAATGTAATACTTTGGAAAAAAATCAAGTTTATTTTTATAAATTAGCATAAAAAACTTCGTACTAGAGATAATAAGACACTGGCTTAAATAAATTTTCAACTGAATGTTCTTAACTCCAATTTTGCACTCAGTAAATGTTCATCTACGTGATTTAGGTAATAATCAGTAATATTACGATTATTACGTACACTTTCTACATCAATTTTTCCATATTTTTATCTTGCATCTCTAAAAAATGCTGTTTTTTTTTTCATAAATGTTTCATAGACTTGGGTTCTTCTACTTAAATATATAGCTTATGTATCGTAACATTTAATACATTACTTTTAAACTTTCTGTGTCGTATACTTTATTAATATGCTCGGTGGCACATATGGGTTGTGTAATGGCTACGAACTTTATTTTTGGAGTTTTAAACATTTTGGATATTATTTATTTATATTAACAATATTGTCCATTATTTGAGGCCCAATTGACGCCCATACGACGCCCATCTGAGGCCCCCTACGCTGCAGCTCACAAAGTCAATATGTTGAAACAGATTTAATAAAATAAAGACAGAAATAATAATAATAATAATAATAACAAAAAAAAAAACTAAAAAAAACTAAATAACTAAATTAAAAAAATAAATAAAAACTAAATAAAGACTTAACATATTTAATAAAATGAAGCAATTAGTCTCTGGATAATCAATACTAAAATCTTCCGAACATTAGTTTCGTATTTGAAAGTTAGCGACAAAAAGGCGTGACAGCAACACAAAATTGAAAATATAATATTTTTCGGTAGTAATTGAGGTAAGTTGAAAATATTCGTCAACTTCTCTCTAAATTTGTATCTACCACGCTGCCCTTATTAACCAATTACGGATTTTTTTAATTTAGACAATTTTTGTCTATTATCAAAAATATAGCGGTGAAGAGATATTAAACATATTTAAATGTTGATATCTTTGTTTTTTGGTTTCGAGAAATTGTGTTTTACCTAGTCGTTGAGCCATAAACTGTATGGTAATGATTTTATTGGTGCATTGATTCAAAATTCTCAAAATAATGCCAATTACCTCAAAAAAATCTCTGATTAAGAGCTATGCTGCTTGTGCTTTATTTTTTCACGGGAATAGTACTATAGATGTTGGAAAATCTTAACGTGACCTTTAGCTGTATTCATTCATGCCTAATAAGATTAAAACATTAATCTATGGTTTCAGTTAAACTATTGTTTCTCTCACAGGCATAAAATTGTTTGATAAATACAGGAAGTGAAAAAAAAATATATTGTGATGTATATAATTTCCTTGATAAGGAAGAAATTACTGTTATTAGTATTTTGTTTGATGTATTAAGAAATAATAGGATTATAATAATTGCGTAAACGAGCGCAGTGTAAAAAATGCATTATTTGCAGATGGGTGTGTGTTTTTTTTTCAAGGACGTTGCGTTAATGATTCTTGAAGAAATCAGCTACTGCTTATGTTGTGTGTTTAAATTACAATAAACGTAACAGGTGTAAAATACATTATTTTATTATACAATTGCTTATAATTATTATACGGTAATGAATATATTAATTATATCTATATAAACACAATATTTAAAATTTAGTTAATTTTGTTTATGTTGTTTGATGGGAATTTTAAGTTACTTATGTTTTTTTTTCTTTGCTTGTGTTCATTTATGTTAATATTTTTTTTCAATTGTCTCTTGACTGATTACTTAAATCATTTATATTATTTGCATTTAAAAACTCCAAACATTTTTTATCGTTTTTCTTTTGAAAATCATCCCTTGCTTGCTGATTGACAAACTATAATTGTACACAAATTAGCTATATTATTAGGAAAAACCGGGAAATCCCCATTCCTCAGAGGTGTGGTGCTGAAATTCATTTCATTGGATACAATTTACCATTAATATCAATAAACACAACAAACTTAAAAAAAACATTTTTCCAAAGCTAATTTCCAAAAAATGTTTTTTTTTGTCCCATATGGAGGCGCATAAAATCTATTAAGTATGTTCTAATAATCTAGCTGGCGAAAATATGGAATTTCATGTTAGTATCACAAATTATAATTAT